GGGCGGCGGCGGCGGTGGCGCGCGCCGGGCCGCCCCTCCGGAACCCTCCGCCGTCGGCTCCGCCGTCGCCCGCGCAGTCGCCCGCACCGTCGCCCGGCGCCGCGATCGAGTGCGGCCGCTTGGACGGCAGATCCCCTTCCGGGAAGGACAGCGCCAGGCGCGTCAGGTCGTCCTCGGAGTCCTGCGCACACACATCTTATCTCAGTGGCGGCTCCTGCGACAGGAGACCAACACATCAAATGCGTGAAATTCTTTCGATCAACCGGAGGAATTAGATCGATCGCGATCACTTGCGATGGGATGAGAGCGAGTCCTATCGATATATTTCACTCTCGATTCATCTAGCCCACGGTGTAATATAAGTAAAATGTGTTTAAACCGGAACCTGCACATGCCGGAAACTTGCCTTAACTGGAAAATTTTTCCAGCCCGTACAGTTAAATGGCATTTTACATAGCCATAAAATGGAACCTCTACCTCGCGGAAACGGAACAGTTTTTCATATCCCCCAGGGGGGGAAACATTGTAACACGGAATTCTCGTGAATTCAACGCAATGGGGGGGGGGATGCTTGATATTTTCTTAATGAAATGAATGCATGTGCAAGTCTGTTTTGAATTCTCTACCTCTGTGACACCGATTTAGTAGTGGCATCCAGACACTGAATGAGAGGGGCAGACGACCTTGGAGTCACTTGTCACTCAAGGGGTGCACCGTATTCCCTTTCTCCCGATTAAGCATGGAAATATGTATGGGCATGTCATCTATCCACGTGTTTCCCTGCACCGCGCTGAAAATCATTACTCCGATACGCATTACTAAGGCCATGCGAGGGTATCAGGAAGTTATAGTACTGGGTTGTGACACATTGAGCATTGAAAGAGCCAGTAAGCTTTCCGAATACAGCCACTAGGCGTGGTAAGGTTTTGTTTTTGTTGATTTTTTCTTAACTTAAAAAACTGTCAATGAAGAGTATTTAAAATTAATTTATGGGTGATGTCTTTCATAAATACATTATATATTAATGTATTTTGATAATTATAATAAATTGATGTAATTTTTTCTATCTCAAGGCAGAAACGTAAATATCAAGGGTCGCAAAATAAACTACATTGCGTAAAACGAAAACATCCCTAAACCAGATTTTTTCCCGATCGATTCCGGCTTACACAAATTTTACTGTACCATGCGCCAAAGTCAGCCCTAACTCTCAGCGACTTGTGACATGACTCGTGTGCGAATAGGGGAGTCTAAAACCGCGTTGCTCTGGTTGAAAGAGACGTCTCTGCGTGGCAGTTCAAGGTAGGAGCCCCTCTTTCCAGCCGTCGGACTTCTTTGAAAAACGTCTTTTTGGGGCACAGAGGCGCCAGAGGTCTTTTACGGACGATTACTGCTAATGAGAAGGAAGCATAGAGAGTTCCTTCTCAGATATATTTCAATTGTTTTCACTACTTTTAAAAAATGAACGTAATTTTATTCTCTATCAAAGTCGTTATCACTATCGATTAAAAATTGTGGATTTTTTCTTACACATTAAAGTTTTTTACACATTAAAGTTCTTTTTTTATTGATATATGCATTAAAAGAGGAAAATATGTGATAAAATGTCTTCCATCTCTCACCTAAAAAACGCAATTTCATCACTTTCACTCACTCGTGTCAGCCGTTTCATCCGCGTTAACTCTTTACCAACGGATCGTAACAGATAAAACATACGTTTTAATCGTTTTTATCAGCATGTTCAATTGTTCTGATTAGCTGATTTCATTTGCTATAATTGTGGAATATACTCAATTTAACGATACTCATAGATCGATTAATGCTTAAGTAGAATTAGCACATGTTTAGAATTATTGTTGGTTACGGGCTTTCAATAACTTCTAAACTTATTTAATAATTTCTTAAATATATGTTAATGTTAATTACGCAATTACATCTTTGATGAGAGAGATACCATCTAACAATTAAATATGGTAAATTTATGATGTTGTCTGGTACCAAAAATTTAATTTGCTAATGATTGTGTCATCCTCAGAGCTCAAATTAGAATTACCGAAATAAAATTACGTGAATTATAAAAAAAATTGGTATAAGTTATTACCAAAAATTATGTACAAAATGTAGTCAATGTATGTCAGATGCGTAAGCAAACTGGGTCGTACGTACCTTGCAGCTTCTGGGCAGAAAGCCTTGCAGTTTAAGTGAATATTCGAGAATTTTGAGGTCATAAATGCGTATTTTTAAAGGCGTATTTCAAGATGTTTTAGAGCATCGGATTCCTCTCCTTATTCATGAATGTGGTGAGTACGCAGTTTACGTTTTTACTAGTTAGACGCTGCAGTTACAATTTCTGTTCTTAGAATTCTCACCAGCCACTATTGCGAGTGTGGAAAGACTTGACGGAAGAAGCATCGGCTCACCTGGAAGTACCAGGGCAGGTGGTCGTAGTCGCGGCGCGTGATGTCCAGGAAGCGGCGGTCGAGGGGCGGCGGGGAGCCCCCGCCCCCGCCCTCATCCCCGTCCGCGCCCCCGTCGCCAAAAAAATTGGTATAAGTTATTACCAAAAATTTATGTAGACCAACAGTGTAGTCAATGTTGTTACAGATTGCCGTATGCAAACATGGGATCGTAGCATACTTGCATCGCCACAGCTTCCCCCGGGCAGAAAAGACGAAGAAAAGCGGAGAATATTTGGAGGTCAATAAATGGGATATTTTTAAAGGCAGATATTTCACGATGTTTTAGAGCATAGAGATTACTCTCCTTCTTCATGAATGTGGTGAATACGGCAGTTTACGTTGGGTTTACTTGTTAGACGCTGCAGTTTACAATTTCATGTTCTTAGAATTCTTCACCAGAAACACTATTGCGAGTGTAGAAAGATTGACGGAAGAAGCATGGCTCACTGGAAGTAGAGGGCAGGTGAGACGAGGTCGGGCGCGTGATTGTCCAGAGAAGCGGGCGGTCGAGGGCAGGCGGGGAGCCCCGCCACCCGCCTCATCCCGTCCAGGCCCGGTTACGCCGCCCCGCGTAGGCTCGTGTCTCGAAGGGAGGTCTGACGCGGCGGAAGGCGTGGAGGCGCTTGGGCTGCGATGCATGAGGCTGTCACACGAGGGGGCAGCGAGGGGCTGAGCGTTGGCGACGCGGCGCGTGGCGGAGGCGGGCGAGGGGCAGAGGCGAGGGCGCGGGGGACAGCGGCGTCACACATGGGCGGGTGACGGGCGCCATACCTCGTAAATGGTGAATAAGGAAGCTCCGCGGCGGTGGGAACCCGGGGTCGTCTCTGGCGTACGCTGTCGATGGCTGCTACATGCGCTTGCGGTCGTCGCGTGCGGGAGAAGGGGCGCGGCGGCGGCGGGCGGGGCGCCGC